CACGTTGGCACACACCTGAGAAAGGATCTGGATTTATTACTGTGTCCTGGATGCAGTCACAAGGCTGCAAGTTGGGAAGGTGCAATGGTGATCATCTGTACTTGTGAACAGTTTTTTTGTGGCCAAATTTCAAAATACAGTGGTCATAGAAGCTTAGAGACAAGCGGAAAATCTTTGAATGCTTTAACACTTCTTCCTGAAGCTTGTTATGTCTACACAGAAGTCCTCCCAGGTGCCATGCACTTCATGGGAGATGCTATGGGCTGTGCTTTCCTCAAGCATTGCTGTTAACCTGAAGGCACCTGTCTTTTCCTGGAAACACAGCAAATCTTGCAAGAAATGTCTTTACAAGCATAGATTTGCTAGCACTCTGGTGTCATCCTGCTCAGCTACTGGCATAGTTGCTATGGAGCAAGTAAGACTTTTTACTAACTCTTTTTGTAGGTAGATATGAAGCTCTGATAGGGAAAAGAGGAGCTGCTTTGTAATTCCCACAGGCAAGACAAAATCTATGAGGTTGTCTGTGGGGAAAGCTAGACATGGGGAAGCAATGACTGTTACTAACAATGTGACTGTTTCCTTGACAGATACGAAGATGTTTACCCAAAAAGTGACAGAAAAATTCTGGATTCTGCATTAATCTAAAAAGCAGTTAAAAAACTTGTTGAAGCTACAACCCCGAGGATTTCTTGCGTAGAGCAATGATGGAGGTAAACACATTAGGAATTTTCTTTCTCCTCTGGGAGTTGAGAGAAGCTGAATTTAATTAGTTTAAAGTCTTCTACTGGGAAACTGCAAACAAAAGTGCTTTCTTAATTCAGATATACAAGAAGATGTAATTCAGCTCTTTGCTGGTAAGAAGGCTCATTTTATGAAGAACCAAAGCTTTCAAGGCCCTATTCAAACAAGTTAAAATGCCATTTTGAGTAAGGCAATTTCCTGCAGTGTCTGGAGTGGAGCATAAACACTCATGTACACAAATGAGCATTGGCAGAAAAGAAGTGGTATAGCCTAGTTCTGAGCAATACCTCTTTGACACAAAAAATTCTTAAGCCTGCTGCCAGCATAAACAGTGCTGACCAAAACCATGACATGGATAGAAGGAAAACACATGCCACTGTATGCTCTGGCTTTTTTCAGGAGCCAGGTATGAAAGAGACAATTCAAGAGGAGAGCAGAGCGTCATCACAGCACTTTGGCAATTGAGTGTGAAGGCATCGACTTGAACAAGTTTTCTAATTGCAGTAGAGTGCAGAAATAGCCCCTCAATAAAACAGATCATTAACTTGTTTGATGAGGAGGAACTGCATTGGGCAAAAAAACATAAAGTAGGTGTGAGGAGTGGGAAACGAATCAGTGAAACTGGCGGTAAGCTGGGATATAATAAGTGATGCAGATAAAAGGCAGTAAGGTTTTGAAAACATGGTTGTTCGCCACGGTTCATGACACCCTATGAGCTGGCATTTATATAAATTTTGTGTATCTCAAATTGTCATGTGGTTTTTGGTGGCAACAACATATTGTCTCCTGCCTTGGCAGTCCCTATGTTAGCTGAGGAAATCAAACCATTATCTTTCGAGGGTATAAAAAGCATCCAGTACCAACTTCCTACATGAAAGTTTTCTTGTGCGTTTCAATATGCCAAGCAATGCCAAGGCTTTCCTATTTGATATAAATTGATATCCTGATTTTGCCATGAAGGAGATTTCTAAGTTACAAATCCTTACAATAGTGAATATCATCCTGTAAAAGGTATATACTGCAGGTGCCTGAGGGTGCTTTTGTTGAATATGTTCTTAAATGTTAATGGTTACATGGCATAAAATTTAACTGATGGATAGGATTTTATGCTATGATAGTTACTTGGAGGCTTTGGCTAATGAATTTTAAATGGATAAATTAAACTTCATTAAATATTGACACTGGGAATAAGATATGCCAGCTAAGAATCTCTGGCTGCTTATAATAGGGGTTCAGAAAGTTAATGGAGCCCTGCAGATTGTTTTCTGAGGTTTATAAAGAACTGCCTGGCCCACTTGCTGAATGCTTTAGCAGAGAGCAAGCAAAATATTTCTCCATGCTTTCAGTAATGTGACTGCCATTGGTTTACTTAGGTTTGGTAGGAGATGGAAGGGAGGTAAATAATTTTTCTTACCTGAAAAAGGTGAATTACTCCATGAAATGACACGATGATAATTGTGCATAGAGACTGTGATAATTCTTAAAATCTACACACTCTATTGTGCTCACTTTTTGCTGTAGGTGTAATTATTTTCTGTGATATGCATTTAAACTGCCCAAATTTCCAGGACTTTGTTAATTTGTGTTAGATAAACTTATCTCTTGCTGAAGCAAGAGGCACTTTGAAGTAATTAACTATGTGTTGGTGAGTACAACCTTTGGCATTATGTGTACTGTTTAAGTTTAATGTTTTCCATCAGACACACCTTTTTTCTTTCCTGACTATACAGTGTGAATTGAGGGCTGTGTTCGAATCCCTCGCTCCTCTCGGATTAACTTGCCACAGTCTAACTCCGTAGATAAGGTGGTGCCAGAGGTGGAGTTGGACGGATGGGTTTGCTTACACTGTAGTCCATAAAAGAAACAAAAGGCCTTGCATGCAAGAAAAGAAAAATGGAGAAAATAAATAAATGAAAGAAGTAAAATTAAAAACAAACATGAGAATGAGATTCAAAGTCTATTTAAATCAAAAGAGATTCTATTTGTGGAAACAGAAAAGTCATAGATTGCACTTGACTCATGCTTTGGATCAGCTTAGTGATAATATACACTATATAGCATTTTCCATCTAAGCTTCTTATTTCACCAAAATAAAAATAAAATGGACCAAGAGAAATGAGAAAGTAACGCTGGAATGTCTGGTTTTCTACTTTCTGTAAAATTACTTTTAGAAAAGAAGTACGATGTTGCCACATTAGCTCACTTAAAGATTTTAATTATTAAGAGGCTGCCTATATATAATAAGCAATACATTGCTGTGAAACAATACTAGTTTCAGAAATGGAGTATGTATGTATGTATGTATCCCTGAATACTATGTTATTCACCCAACATATTGCTAAGTAAATTAATGCTTTCTCATAAAGCTTTAGGTTTACTGTAACTATAACTTCAGGACTTTCCCAGGCTCCTGAAGAGTTTCCAGGATATTAGCACCTATTAGCATTTATACTAAACATTTTAATTCACTGCAATTGTTCTTTAAAACATGTTTGAATGGAAGATCTCCTGAGACATGAATGAAACACAGATACATTCTTTATGCATTTTGTGCTAAAACTGTCCTATAGGGTTAAAATACTAATCAGAAAGTTTCAAAATGTGTAAAATACAGTCATCCTTTATCTTTGACTTATTCCAAAACAGGGACACTTTGATTAATATGGCCTGCAAAATTGCTCCACATGAGCTGCTTCTGTTGTTCGTAGACAGTGCCATTGCCCTTAACAAGGGCTTGCTCATGCACACTTGGGAGATGTCTTCACGGTCAGGAGCTGCCCTCTCCTGCAGGATACTATGAGGACCAAGTCCTCTAACATTGGCATTAGGCATCATAGACCCAAAATAACAGCAAGAGATGTTTGGAAAAAGGTGCATGGTAGCATTCATCTCACTTCCTTTCAGCTGTCTGAACAGCAGGCATGTAGCCTTAGCTTATGGTGATCCTTTACTGGAAGCAAGGAGATACAGGTGATTTATCCTATCCAAAATCAGATGTTACCCTCTTGAGGCCCTCAGCCCTGGCTGCTTGTTTTTGCTGAAGTGTCAATCCCTCTTACATCTCAGCACCATTGCTATATGCAGTGTAAACTGCACCCCTGAGACCAAGTCCAGAATGTTCCCCTTTTCCTCTCACTTATCCCTGCTGCCTTTGTTAAGGTTATTTTCTTCAACAGTCATTTCTGGCATTTATGTCAGCAGCCTCACAGGATTATACCTTGGATGAAGAGCATGAATTCCCCAAGGAAAACCTCCTGTCTTTACGATCAAAAACTGCAAAGTGAGTTTAAACAAGTCACTTTGAAGTAGATGCCTTGTGTCTAGAAGCCTTAAGTTAGGTTATATGAACCTGCCTCTTGGTGACTGCATCAGAGGCCACTTGCAGTGCAATTGTCCCTACGATAAGTTCTGTTGAAGTGAAAAGGATCAGGGCAACAATAGCAGTTGGGCCAAACAGGGCCACATCAGGGTCCAGGACATGGCCAGAACCAAACCAGCACCAGGAAAGGCAGCCAGAGTAAGAGGGCTGGCAGACAACTTCAAGAGCAAAGTTGTGCCTTGTTTCTTTTACAGTGGCTGGTGGTTCAGTAAACGGGTATTTACAATCTATTTTCATGATTGATTCTATCTCACAAACAGCTGTAACACTCAAGGCATGATTTATATGCAGCATTTCCTCTGTTTTCCCTCTGTCCTTTTAAATTGCTCCTTATATGTCATTGAACCTATAAGCAGAACTTCTTTGACTCCATGATCTTACTTTCCTGTGGTATCCATCAACTTTCAGTACGTCTCCCTGCCTTGAAATGCATGATTCAGCATAGTGTGTAAATCCCTGGCTATGAAAAAAATGCTTTCTAGAGCAAGAGAAAAATTACACTTGGGGGTTTGGAAGTACACTCTTGTTGTTACTCAAAGGGCTGGTGCTAATGCTATATGAAAAAAACCCCACCCCAGTTGTTGGTTTTTTTTCCTTCCAATGTAATTTATACTTTAAGTCTTAAAGATCAAGCAGAAACTGTTTGAGAAATTAATTGCTCTTGTTCTGTACTGCCATACTAAGCAGCACTAATTGGACTGTGGGTGAGGTATGTCCCTGTTCTTATTCATAAATTATTTATCCTTAGTGTGAGAAAGGCATGGTGAGAGTTCAGTAATACAAAATCTACACTCCAGCAGAGATATATAATGCAGTCACGTCCACATCCACAAAGCTCAGCCTCCCAGAAACATAAGCAAGCTGGGAATGGATGACTCACCTGCTCAATATCACTGTTTTTCCTTGATTTATATATAAATTCACCAATGGCTACAAACACCGAAAGAACAAGCCCTGCAGCGAGCACTATGAAGATGCCCCCAATATTCTCCACCCCGAGAGCACTGGCTTCTTTGCTGTCTTCCTCAGGGCAGCCGTTGCCTCGCCACCACTTTTCCTTCATCATGTGCAGCTTTCCCTCCTCCTGGAGCTGGAGGATGGCGATGGTGATCTTGTCTCTGTAAGGAGACCCTGCAAGGTGAGAGCAAGACCTGTCAGTGCTGGCTGCAGCAAAGTGAAGTGAGGGAGGGAGCAAGCTGCTGCTATATGAAGCAAAAGTGCTCCCTTATCACAAGATTGATTATTCCAGCTAGAAGTCTTGGGTTTTTTTCAGCTGGAAGGGGGAAGAGGATTATCTGTTGGTGTCTGCCCTGGGGACTGGAAAGCAGAAGGCTCCTTTGGTGCAGTTATTTGAGAATTTATTATAATTTCTAGGCTCTCCTACTGAGGTTTATTTAAGCCTTGGCTGTGGGTTTTCTTGCTAAGTAATTCCTCCATATCATGTTTGAATATTGCTTTGAGCATCCTTTGAGACTTTCCACTTTGCATCTCTTCTATTTACTTCAACATCTGTTTATTTTTCCTACTGCATGTAAAATGAGCAGCTGTCTAAGAAAAGCCCACAGTCAGATACATTCTCTTCTCATTTATACCTGCATTAGCCCACAACTCCAGCTACCTAACAGCTTATAAGAAAAATGGGTGTCCAAGTCTCCTTTTCCATGACTTGCAACAATGTCGGCACTGCAAGCTGAAAATAGAAACTATTATACGCTTTTTTTTTGCAGGCCAACAGCTTGCTAAATGATGTGTCTTCAGGCTCAGCAGCATTGATGGGCCTGTACTGTATCTGGCAAATAGCTGGGTCACGTTGGGTGGTTCAATCTGTTCAGGTTTGCCTCTCTCACACTCTGCTCTGGCTCTCCATCTTCCAAAATCTCTGCCATCTGGAAGTCCCTTCAGCCAACTTCTGCTGCTGCAGAAGCACAAGTCTGTCGGCCCAGAAAGGGATAAAGGAGAGGCTTGCTCCTCACCCGGCTTTTGGAGCAGCACTTAGTTAAAGGAAATTGCTACTGATTATGCTATGCTGCCAGAAATTGAAGTTATCAACAATAACAGCAGCAATCCTGGTAGTAATTAAAACACACAAGTGGAAGTTGGTTTTGGCACTGTGAGAGAGACTTTTCTTTATGTGGCAAGCATTTTATGATAGCAAGCAGGAGAGGGTTACAAGAAAGGCTGTTTGACACTACAGGCATGTGTATACCCCCAGATCCTAACATGCTGGACTTCCTACAGTTGGAAGCATTTAGTGTCTGGGCTGAAATAGTGTCACCAGCCATTTGTCCATGTAGCTAACTACCATCCATCCTTTCCTCTCCTTTGGCATATTAATAAGACTGTTTTCTTAAACAGTAATTTTACCAAAAGTCACATTTTTCTGCAAATTAAAGCAGTTGCAATTCTCAATCTGATCAAGGTAAATAAACTTTTAAGGCCGAACATGTGCCAGAATTTGACTGATAGCAAGGTACACATAGACTTAAGAAAAATCTCACTAGGCACCACTTTTGTGTCTTTATGCTAAATAACCTTGGAAACCTGGCCTCACAGCTTCAGTTTTCTTTCTCATATTGCCATGCAGGACATTATTAAAAATAATTGTACAATGAATACAAGTCTCTCTCTCTGCTTTTCATTTCCTTTAAACCACAGAATTGTCTGAGGAGGATCAGTGTGAAAAACATTGCAGTTCTTTGTTTTGTTGCGCCAACACTCAGCTATTTTTCAGTGTCTCTTACTGCCAGCACTAGGACATGCTGTGACCACAGATGCCAGGAGACGTGTCAGATTATACAAAGTCCATCTGGGAAGCCAGCAATCAGCAGCCACTGCTTGAGGTAGCCAGCTTTGAAAGGAAAATACACCTGCTGTAAGTATAGATGATTTCTATGCATGCTATTAAAGAACCAAAAATAAGCCCAACAGAAAATATAACAGAAACACCTGCAAAAACAGAGAAGTGAATTATTGCCACTGGAAACACCAATGCCTCTCAGAAGAAAGAACAGAATAGTTTCTACCTTAGGAGAGGTTTTAGACCATTAGATTGTAGTACTCATCTATTTTCCCTTGTCTGAAAGGGCATAGCTGTTAGGTAAAGTGAAGCAGCCTTGGTCACAGTGCAGGATTTGTGGAGATATTCATTCTTTCTTGTGATGTTTATGTTGCCAGCAGAATTATCACAATTCATCTTGAGGGTAACAGGTATATCTATATTTCTACGTGTGCTTTTGAGGTTTGTCAAGTGTGCTTGGAGTGCTGGATTGGTGATGTTTTATTAGTGAGCACTAAAACTGCACACAAATCCATCTCAACACCTCTTTGAATATTCAGCATACCATTTATGGCCTCTGAGCTATCAATAAATTACCTCTCAGGCCAAGAAATACATCTACTTTCTTAGAAGTCTCCCAAGCAACTGGTAATAGCTTTAATGTTAGAATTACTAGCGTCAGCACTGGCAGGGATACTGGAATTAGTACTTGTCCTGACATCTATAATAATGTTGCTGTCTTCAACTGGATTCCTCCCAGGGTGACATTTTGCATAGGTTTTGCTTAGAGGTGCCTTTGCTACAGCAGTACTTCCAGAGTGCGTTAAGTTCACCATCAAGCATTGCTGCAGATTTTTCATTAGTAATGGTCTTTGCCAAGAATGATGAAAGCCCTCCTCTCTCTTTCTACCCATTGGCTCCATAATGAACATAAACAGAGATGTTTGTTGATATACCTAAATCCCCTTTATTCCAACTTAGCACAAAGAAGTAGGAAGACAGCCTATATTTGCAGGTCTTTTACTTGCAGAAGATGCTCTGATAAAATAGTGCATTTCCTGGATCTGTAGAGCTTTCAAAAATTATCCTCCTTGTTTCTTTAGGAGTCAAACAGGGTTGATATTCAGCTCATTCACTGGAAATTTGGGAGTGTGAGGCATATGTTTGCTGCTGAAAACCATAGCCATGTGTTTGTGCATTCTGCTGAAGGAACAAAAGCAGACACCAGCTAAGACCTGCTGAAACTTTGGTGTTATAGGTCATGGACAAGTTTCTGTTTTTTTGTAGGTTTTTTTGTTTTATTTTGGGGTTTATTTTTATTTTGATTTGGTTTGGTTTGGTTTTTTTCTATACAGCTTCTGAAATCAATAGTCTTGAATGCTGTGAGAAAAACAGCAGAGCCTCTGGGGCCCATCTGAATTGTAGAAGGATCTCCACAGCTTATCTTGTTTATGAAATCAATCATTTAAGAATTTAAGATGCCTAATGGCACTGAAATATCCCACAAGGCTTGGAGATATCTGTTTGCCTGAATTTTGCTGGTTTTCCTTAAGAAAAATAATTAAAGCACATTTACCATACAAGAAACGTCTTATAAATACATTTCACAGCTGTATTTCCAATGGATGTGCTCTCTCTGAGGATTACCATCTGTTCCAATTATTCCTTCATTGTTCTTGGTTTAAACTGTGGCAGCTTTATAACTGCAATGAAACTTTTGCCATACATTTGTCTTTATTTGGGATTTTAGCTTTGGTATCATTTTCCTCAGGGTGAGAAGGCTGTTCTAACATAGCCAGTGGAAAGTAGACTTAAAATTTTATCTGCATGATGATCTGAGGTACACAATAATATAAAGAATCACAGTTCAAAGTGAAGTGGTGTTTCTCCCTTATTCATATCAGTTCTGCTAAGAAACTGATGGACAAAATACTTCACCTGCTATATCTGTGTAAACTGATAGTGCTTTGAAGACAATAAAATTGCATAGCTAATTAAGTGACTGTGGCATGGTAAATGAATATATGAGCAGTATGGAGAAGTATATTATACAGGAAAAATATCTGGCTTCCCAGTGCCAATTATTCACAAGAATGCAGCATAAAATACTTGACACACTTTCTGATTCTCTACAGTTAGAAGATCTTGAAAAGGACACCAGATATGCCAAAAAATGTCTACAGGAAAGATTCCACAGAGATTGGAAGTCTTAAGATGCCACTTAGCTCAAATTATTGAAATCACTGATGCAGATGCAGAACTTTGCAATTGCTTCTTGCTGTTTTTATGTGTTACTTGGAGGTCATCAAACTGATCAGAATTTCATCTCTTTTCATACAGCTTTCTTGAGGATGAATACATGGTACATAACATTTGTCCTGCCCACTTCCATTTTCCCAGAGACACTACCTGATTTCTCAAACCAAACTGAATTTCAGTAGAGCGACTTGCACCTTGAGCACCACAAAGTATACCCAGTTTACTATGAATGGGATGCTCCAGAAGGTAAGCAGGTCACTTGACCTCATTCTGCAGATGTAGCCTGGACTGCTATATTCCCTCTTGCTTGCAGTTACTGCTTGCAGATGAGCAGGGCAAGAGTAGATGTTTTGCCTAAAGGGAGGTTCCTAGGGTTTCTTTTGATGTGAAAGGTTTCTAAAGGAGTAGGGCACGATTCAAATTGCCATCTAAACTTCTGAAGGGGATATTGCTAGTTGTGCTCCACACCACCTGTGCTGGAAAGCATCTTACCAATAGGGGTTCCCACGCCGTAGCCTTTCGAATCAATGAGCCCTCCAATCTGGGTGAGATTGCAGTTTCTCTGAGTCACATATTCTATGCTGGTCGACTCCATTAGCAGTGCATAGTCTGTTGTGAGCACACGCTGGATTCCTTCATCATTGTTCTTCACCAGCGCTGTCTGCTGCCTGCTGCTCATGAATGCCCACATCTTCTCATATGTTGATATTTTGGATTTCTAAGGAGGGAAAATGAGGGCACAGAATCACACTGGCACCCAAGTTACACTTGTAAAATATTCCTCAGCCTTTTGTTGTGACCAATGCAAATAGCACATTGTGAAAGAGAATTGGTAGCAGGGTTTTCCCTCCTGCAGCTTTTCTCTCTTGCTGTGCTTTATGCTGAGGAATCTCATTTTTCACTTCCTTTGCAGTGCCAGGAGCTTCATTACTGGCATGGCTGCAAAGTGGTTTGAAGTTTTTTGGGCTAATGCTGTTACACGGATTACAGCACACAGCCCAGCTAAATTAGTGCAACTGGATACTGTTGCGCTTAGAAGCAGCACACAGAAGCCACTGCTTCTGAGTGCAACAGCATTTGCCAGGGCAAATGCACTACTCCAAAAGCCTGGTGGTGAATAAAGTACTGGCTCTTTTGTTTTGATGCCACTTGCCTAGAAGTCATGTGCTTCAATGATAAAGCTTGAGGAACAAACCCAAAATGGCTTCTAAGCAAACTTCTGCTTTTTGCATTCCACTGCAATCAGACTTAAGGACTTCATTCTCCTCCCACTTAAGTGAAGGGGGAATTTGCCATGAGTGTGTACATGTCCTGTGTCAATGCCCAGCTGCACAAGGAAGTGGGATGCCAGAAGCCCCAGCTGCCTCTGTACAGTGTTGAATATCCCTTCCTTCCCCCTCCTTTCTCTGTGCTGTGGGAGCTCACAAGGCACCCTAGAGGGCAAGGCAGTGCCGGTGCCCCCTTGTTCGCACTTCTTTGTTGGGGGATATGAAAAAAACACTGAACCTGCTTAGGGACAGGTGGGAGCCCTGTGCCTGCAACCCTCAAGGTGTGCTACCTGCAAACCAAAACCCTTCAAGTGCTCTCACAGTGCTAACGTGATCAAACCTGTCTCCTCTTTGTACGCTCTCAAACAACATGGAACACATACTGTCTCTTTGGACTGTTAGAAACTGTCAACAGAAATTATTTTGACACAAGACAGCAAAGCCAGACATTGCCTAACTAGTCTGTGCTGCAGCCTAGCATGAGCCAGACACACACAAACCAAGTGTTTAATGTGAGTTGAAGGTCCTCCACACACATTTCCCCAGTTCTGAGGCAGTAGATCCTCACTTCCTTCATGGGCCCTATCTTTGGCTTGTAGTCATCATAGCTGATTTTGGACTCACTGTGTGGAGACCATATGTGCTTATTAAACACGAGTGGATGGGGGATTCCCATGACAAGTTGATTTTCTGGTTCTTTGAGCTTTAAATGCTAATATGCTTCACCTGCAAATTCAACACCTGTGAATGTTGCCTAAATTCCACTTCAGTTTGGTAAGCCACAGGACACCACTAACCCTTGAAGATGGTTAAGTGGCTCTTTACTAGTAGAAACACTTTTTACTGCTCAGTTGGGAATATTTTTTTGAAATTGATAAGTTTATGCAGTAGATTGAGCCTGATATTGAGTTTACTGAAAGGATGTATTCCATATTCAGATGAGTTTGCAAGAAAGATCTTAGCTTCTCAGCTTGCCAACTCCCATTTTTTTCAGGATAGATCATATGCCAATTTCTGGCCTTCAAATTCTCATTGATTTCAGTGGAAACATGTCTGCACATCAGAAGGTAGCCACTGGCAAGAGTTGCAACATGAGATTAAGATCTATTACTACAGAGGGGCAAGAAAGCAATGGAAGATTTATAGACATGTTGGAAACAGAGCAGGACAGCAGTTTGTGTGTGTCATGATTTGTGGATGTGAAACATCTTGCCTTCTGTTGGACTTCTCCCAAATTTGGACATTCATGCAGATGGTGAATGCTGCCTGGGATCCTGCTGGCTCACCTGCCTAAAATCCTATCCCCTTGCTGGAGCACTCCTTAACTGTCCAGGCCCTGTTTTCTGGGTGTTTTCATCTGGTATGGCTGGATCTGGGATCTGTGTACAGGGAGGAGGCTGACTCTGAGATTTCTTCAAGGTCAGAACTCCATTTCTTACCCCCAAATAATTTCAATTGCTTTTGTTTTCATTACCCCCAATACCTGGGTAGAAGGCATAGTCACTGCAGAAGCTTTCTAGAAAAATATTGCCTCTTTAACAATAGTTTTTCTGAGGACAATATTACAACAGGGATACTACTGTAAGGCATTCAAAATTAGTGGAAAACCACAACTGTTAGTATATGCGTTCTAAACAAGACTAAACAAAAAGTGATTGAAGCTTGAATAAATGCAGAACAAATTTTCAGAAAAGCAGTGGAAGTACCTTGCTTTTCTCGTATGGTTCCCAACCTGTATCCCATCCACTGGGTAATATCATCTTTTAGGGGCTTCCTGCTGCTGCTTTAAGCACAATGTCTTAAACCAAAGTCCTTCAGAATGTGCTTCATGCCAGAATCTTTTTCTGAATTTCGTGTCTTTGGAAAGCCTTTTGCCAAGTGTTTCTCTTATAGTCCCGAAAATCAGACTCATGTGGTCTTTTCATCTGATGCCCTGCATGGAAGGGACTTTCTCGTTCTTCTCTCCTCCATAGTGAGGAATTCCTGGGGTGTCATGGTTTTTCTTTAAAAAAATATTAGTCTGAAAGAGTCTTCTATTTTTCTTGGCATTTCTTGGTTTAAATACTGGACATAGCCCTTAGCGAAACCAAATCTTGCAACACAGGAAGCACCTGAAATAATGACCCTTCCTTTGTGCAACCCAGCCCTGCGCTACACTTCTGCAGGATATTTTTACTGCTGTTGCACCTGCTTGTGCTGATTCCTCCTTTCCCTGTTCCCATCACATCAGCACTCCCAGGTGGCAGGACCATTTCTGCAGCACAGGCTGCCCATCGTGAAAAGCAACTTTCACCCCAGCTCAGCAATTCCACCCCTTGAATCGCAGGGGTGTTGCTATCAGAGGGTACTCCTGGGCATTAGGGTGCTCCCAGAGCCCGCTACAGCATGGGACAGCTCAGGGGAAACTGTCCAGGCCAGGTCAGGACTTCACAACTCCCCCAAAAGAGGCAGTGTTATTTCAGGTGTTTTCTCTAGAATTGGTATGGCAAAGGCGCTTTTTCTTAAACTATACCATAATGCACATGCAGTGTGGGCACAGGAGTAACTGCTGTCCAGAAACCCTCACCTTTGCCTTCTCCTAATTCCCAGGTCTCTTACTGGCATGTGTGTGGGGGTCTGCCTACTTATGTCAAGAAGTATATGTAGTATTTCACAGTCCAGGGGAGGCAAAGTCATGCCCTCACAGAGCACACAGTATTCCTTTTGCATACACAAGTATCTGTGGTACTTATTGTACAGACATCTACTTCATTATTTTTATTAATTTTATTTTTTAAGTTTTGGACAGCATAAAGAAATCATAATCTTGTGAAAATCTTGAAGGGCTTCTGTAATAAAAATAACAACACCTTTTCTGTACGTGTCACTGGTTTACAATGTGATAAATTGTGTTTTTCATACATCTTTCACTATTTCACTTTCACTGTTCCAGAGAATCCGCCTCTATTCTGTACAATACCTAGTCTCCTTTCACTTGTGTTTCTGTACACGTGTATTGCAGGCACAAGTAAGCTAACGTATATAGCATGCAAATAGTTAATCACCTTGTCCTTTTTTTTTTTTTTTGTATAAAGTCTCACATTCTTTTAAGCCTACAAATTTTAACCTCAGGGATTAATGGTGCAAAAAAATCAGTGTAAAGCTGGAAGCAGCTCTAGAAAATTGTTCTGAATTTCTCATGAAATTCAGGAGCTATTTCCTCTAAAAATATATGGAAGCAACAGGCTTTGGCGTTTTCTCTCTGATGCTGAATTTTATTTCAGAATAGCAATGACAATGACCATCTTTGGGCAGTGACGAGCTTTTAGACCAAAGATGTTTCCCAGAGTCCTTCAGAAGGTGGCACAGCTGCTTTCTCCTGCAGTTTCCAGGAATATCTTCAGTTGGGTTTCCAAGCATATCTTAATGGAAATGTCAGCTCATCATTTATAGAACTGACTATAACAAGGCTCTGAAAAATACTGTAGTTTGTGTGTTTCTTTCAGCATGGAAACACTTCTATTCAGCCAAAGGAGAGCCATTATAAGGGCAGTTCATGCCCAACAGCTCCAGCAGGGATAGCCTACCATCAGGTCTATTACATCATTGGAATGTCCTTGATGAGCATTATTGGTTTTGAGAGGTGACCCAAATACTCTAGCCAAGATTCTTTTTGTGTGTAAGCATTTTGCCTCATGCGGAAGCGTAAGGGCTTGTGGTTAAAACGGGGCAGGGGGCTTGGGCTGGAGTAGCAAAGGAGAGGGGTCATGCATGGCACAACTATTATTTTGCCCCACATGCTGCTTCCTCCCAGTGTCCCATCCTCTTCAAAGGCACCTCATATTTGACTATCTATAAACACTATTCTTAGATGTTATGGTGAAAAGGTTGATACCAGTTTGTTCAGTGTTTAACTTCCCTGCTGAGACTACTGATGAAGCTGCTAATTAATTCTAATTGTCACAGGATTTTTGCACGTGTATCCTATATTTATAGCTTGTTTGCTTTCACATTGACATTTTATGAGATTAATCCATTTTGTATGTAATTAATACTAATACAAAAAAAAAAAAATAATGCAGTTATCTACAAAGCAATTAGCCACAGAAACGGATCTTTTACTTACAGATGTGTTCATGTGTGCATGTAGCCCATATATTAATCTGTGGGGTATTGACCATGGAGCTTTTACTGCATTTTACTGTATTATTGCCATGCAATAATACTGCCTGTGGTACAAATCTGACCTTCAGAAGTGATCTTGGCCAAGTAGCTGGAAGGAGATGAGATCCCACCCTGAGAAGCAACCTGGAGCAGAATGTCTCCAGGTCTATGCCCCCGTTCCCTTCAGATCCTCCCATCAAAGTCATAGGTTTGTGCCTCATGACAGTATAGCATCAGATTGTTTCTTCATATGTCTTGGGGGAAAATCTCCCATCTTTTGCTTAAATATTGCTGAAGAATCCTCTATGGATTTGGGCAAATGATTTATTTACCTATGATGCTAATCCTTTCAAATGTTGTGATTCCACCTCACTATTTTATTGCTGGAGGGCCATGAGTCAGCCCAACTGTACAGAGCTGACTGATGCCATCTTACCTTGAAGAAGGTCATTGTGGATCCATCTCTAACAGCCCCGTACTCTATCTTGGTTTGCTTTGCCAAATCATCTGCTGAATCAATGGGGGATTCCATCCTCTCCACAGTCAAGAAGGCAGCCAGGTTGGCAGTATAGGATGAGATTATGATTAAGGTGAAAAACCACCATATTCCTCCAACTATTCTGGTAGAAAGAGCTTTGGGCATCAGCTCTGATCCTGTTACAATATCATCAAAACAATCATATTAAAATGATGCTGAAAGATGCCTTTCCTGATTGCCACAGACTGTTTTTAGGCACAGAATGCTTTTATGAGCTGTAGTATGATAAAATGATTTAAACAATAATCTCACAGATGCACAGCTAACATTTATAATGGTAACACACTGTGAAAAGGATATATGCCATGATATTATGACAAATGGAGTTATCCTAGGGTCTAAGCCCCATTACATTTCTGAGCTAATGCTCATTGTGATATGAACCTCTTAAATTCCCAGCAAGCTATACTAGTATTTTTGTCCATTTCCTGAATCTCTTTTTGCTAGTATATTATAAGCAGTTTTTTAACCAGAGATCTTTAGCAGAATGTTGTTCTTTTCAATGCTTGTTCTAGTTACAAACTACCTGGCAGAAATATCTTACAAGAGAAACCTGCCCTGTGCACCCTATCGACATACCTAAGCAGAAACAGGGCAATCAATACAGTTCCACTGAACTCATTGGCCTATGTGAACCTGAGATAAAATCCCAGAACACATCTTGTTATAAATGTGTGGTTTACATCTGAAAATTCAGAGGGTGAATGGATGTGTCCTTTGGATCTACAGGGCAATGCAAAGTTTCATCCAGTGTATGTAACACTCATTATTGCTGAAAAGGTTTTAGCAGATATGCCTTCATGTCACCAACAAAAGTCAAAGTGATCTGCTATTGTCATAGAACCCCATAGAACAGTACATGTGAGTGTTAATTGCACTGAATCAGCTTCTAAACAGCTCAGGTAAACTGTATTTAAGCCACACAGGTACTTCAATTTCTAAGCGTTCTGATGCAAGTTTTATGCTTGTTTTCTTTTTACCGGCATCACTACTGTATTGGGATTCAAGGATCTGGTTCAGTAAAGCACTTACACAGCCACTTGAAAGCTTTTGACTTAAAAGGTTAACCTTTGCATAATTATTTTGTTGATTGAGGATGGACTTAAGAAAGTACTTAAGTGCCTGTGAATAGAGATCTCAGCACGTAAATCCTTTGATGTGACAAACATATTTCTATTACTGGAAAAATATGTTGACATATTATCTCTTCCCAGCTATTTAATTATTTCTGTGAGAAATTTAAATATGTTACAGAGAATATTTTCAAACTTTGGAAAATTCTGAATGTGACTTATGGGGCAAAGACCAGAAGGGCAAAAACTTTCCAAACAACCAGCAAACAGATTTAACTTAGCTTTGTATACTTACAGATATGTCTCTTAAAGGTCAAAGCTAAGCATAGCCCAAGGGTTTGAGTAGGTTGACAGAACTGCCAAACTGCAAGAGCAGATGCTTTGCCTGTGCAGCCCTCTGCAGCCCTGGTGCTGGACAGATTTCAAGTTAAGCCAGCAGTCTAAAAACAAAACTCACTTGAAATGTTTGAGTCCAAATGTACTTGTTTCAAGAGCTGTAGCTCTATATGGGTTTATGTTTGCGGTCTGTTGTACTTTCTTGCTTTTCAGGTTATACTTTTTTAAATACAATGAAATCCTTTTTGCATTGTTGCTCTCAGGAGAAGTGTGTTTATTTCTAAGCTGGGTTTGACCTGCAAAAGCCAGCTTCAAGGAGTGCCGATTCAGGTCATCCTGAAGGTATTATTTCTGTCAAGCTTAGACAGCTATACAAATATGATTTCTACACTTGGACCCTGATGCAATAGCTAGCTCTGACATATAGATCCCAGTAATGCGTAACAGCCAGATACCTTGCAGATACCTTAACAAGCAACCATGAAATCTGCCGGTGCATCCTTCTGGCAGCACGAGAGAGCAGGCAAGAAGCCCTGTGTGCTGAATTTGCTGGGTGAGATGCCAAACCTCCTGTGATTTCCTCTAGCAAAAAGTTGTTTTGTGAAAAATTAGCAGAATACAATTAAGCTCAAAATGCCACAGTCTATTAATTATGCAGTGAGCTACTGTTTTGCTTTAGTGAGGTGCTGAGTACACTTTGCTCCCAGCTGAACCAAGTGGGCCTACCGTCTCTTTTGATCACTCCCAAGTTTATTTCAGTGTTCACATTTTTAAGGGCATTGATTCCAGCAAAAAGCATTAATATATGCTACATGCTCATCAGCTTCACCCTATGCACTCTCCTATGATACTCCTAGTCTGACCCGTTGCCTGGCTGATCTGGGGCTTTGACAGATAGCGTTCCTTTCTGAAAGTGACAGTTTCTCTGAATGAATTGGATGAAATGTGCCCTGTTTGGATGCTTTCAGAGTATGCATAACACATCTGAGACTTGAAGGGGAAAAACAGGGGAAGTAACATCTAAATAAAAACGTTGCTAGCAAGACTCAGGGTCAGAGACAATACTTGCTGAAGTCTCTCTAGTGCCTTTTAATGGCAGACATGACAGCCAATCCTGATCCAGACTTTGCTCACGCTCTGTAGAAAAGAGAAAGTCTGATCATCACATTTTAAAATTTAATAACAAGTGGCTTCCAATCAAGCACAACAAGCAGCTGCTGCCAACAAGAAAGAACGTAACGCTAGATGCAGTCACAACCATTCACATCATGTTCAAACTCTTCACATTAACGATGATGCACTTACAATCACACGCACCACAAGTTTGTACATGGAAACATTTGTGTTGCCTTACAAATGTTTTTTCTTTCTTTCTTTCTTTGTTTTTCTTTCTTTCTTTCTTTGTTTCTTTCTTTCTTTTGCTTTGTTTTTAATCTTCTTCAAAGACAAGCAGAGTCTGGTTGGGGCTGACTGTCATGTACCCAAGGTAGTGGTAACGAGCAGACACTGCATCCCACAGTTTGCTGTGGATGATGGTAAACTCCAAAAAAGGCAGTACACCGAAACACAAAATCCTGGGGCACTTTCACACACAGGGCAATCACAGTTATATACACACACCTGCCTGATACTGTAAAACCACAGCCTATGTTTTACTGGTAAGTTCGAAGGAGAATAGAAGAAAAAAGCATCCAACCTCCTTCAGAGTAATTTCTATAAGCAAGCTCTATATCCGGTCAATACATTAGTGCAGCAATAAAAGCAAGTGCATCTTAGATAAATTATAAACTTTATTCTCTACCATGCTTAGGAAAAAATCCTCCTCTTGCTTTTTTCACTGCTACTCATGTCTGCTAGAGGGAAGAATAAACTGTACCTGGATGAATGCAGAGATGATTTTATATTCCTTACTTAAATGTTTAGGAATTTAATACCAAGGTACTGCTGGGCTTTCCTCTGGATTGCCTTTTTGGTGGTTGTTTCAGGGTAGGGATTTTTTTGTTCAGCTTTGATTCAACTTGAAATGTTTGACAGAAAAAACTTGCATTCTTTTCCGTAGATCCCAGTTTTGGTTAATAGTGATTTAATTGGAAACCTTAGAACATACATCCCATAACCAAATGTGTTAGTACACATATCTCTTTGACTTTCCATATGGAGTAAGCTTCACTGCCCTTCCTTGTCAGTCAACTGAGTAAAATGTCAGCTGTTTCCAAAATCATCATCAACAGGGACTTGTGACTGGATTAAGTTAATGCTTCTAAGGTTGGATGCATTTACAGAAGGATGGGACCCATACCTGCAGAAAAGCCATAAAAAAAAAGGTTTTGTTTTGTTTTTAAACAAAGTGTTTGACAAGTGCCAACAAATTTAACAACCCTTCTGAAGAAAGAGCATCTTTTGTTGTTGTTGTTGTTCATGAATTATAACTGTTTTTCTAGGGTATCTAAGGCTGTTACTGTTCCCACTGGAACGGAGCCCAACATCTTCCTATTTCCAAACCTCTTACAGCAACAAATTCAACTTCAGCATGAAGCACTTCGTAGCCCTCTTGCGATTATTTTATGTTTTGGCTCCAGAAACTCCCATGTAGCCCTGTCTGCTTCCCTTTCTCTCAGATGCTTCCCCTCCTTCCTTCTGCTGCAGCCCTATTCTGGGTTTCACAGATTCCCCTCCTCTGCCTGCTCCCGGTTGCAGTGGCACATTGTTTTCTTTCTTCATTCTATTGTTTAGTTTCTGAGATCAGGTTTTACAGTATATGTTGTATCTACAGAGGGTGGAGTTTACCAGCACAGAAGCCCTTGAGCAGACTGTGGGACGTGTGCGATAACGAAGTGTAACCGGTGTACCTTGCTGCATGAGAGCTCCAACTCCAAACCAGAAACTATTTAGTAAAGTAAAATTGTTTTCCACCACATCTGAGTCTGGGTTGCACGGGTGGGGGTTATACCATTCATATGGTGTAAACCTGTGGCAGTTAACAGAAACAATCTGTAAACATCAAATAGAGTACACACAGTGGCAGCAAACCTGCTGAATAACGCACAAAGTGAGGAGGTTAATGAAGGAAACAAGAAAAAGAAAACCTCAGCTGAAAGGCTGTCTGCGGGATGTCCTGCAGCTGCCTTTGTGCAAGCCGTGGAGCAGCGCTGCAATACCAGGAGCTATTTTCACAGTCCTGGGTCTAGCACACGGTTACTCTCTTACTCCTTCCACTCTTGGCTTAAGAGTCCTCAAGGGTGAGGCTGCTGCAACACCCCACAGCTTCCCTGCCTACACTGCTGACAGACAGACATTCACAGGAGCAGGGGAAAACTTGAAACCATGTAGCTGCTCCTTGGAAAAGCATTTAGAAAATAATGAAGGAGTAAAAGCCCTCTAAAAGCAACCATCATTTGCTGTCTGTAGCTGAGATGCTTGATGCTGAACGTGCTTTCCCTGAAGGAGGCTGCCATGGCAGCAAAAGAAAAGACTGCTGATTGTTTGAAGGTGTTTGGGAGCAACTGCAGTGCCTGAAAGCCGTAGAGCCATGTTGTCAGTGTTGCTGAGAGAGAATTATGTGGAGGACTGCCTTAATGGAAGAACTCTGCTCTATTCCCCACGTACCATCCTGCAACTGCAAACCATGCCCCTTCTGCTCTGCACAACACTTGGCAGAACTACATTAAGGACCATTTCTCCCTGAGGTGCCTTGCCTGCTGTTGTTTCCCACTGCTGTGTGGCTCACATTCTTCCTCATGAAGTTTATGAATATAGCTTTAATTGGCAATGCCAGGCCAATATATTTTAATTACTGCTTCAACAATATAATTAAGCATTGAATTTACGCACGGTTGCAAGCAGAGTGCCTTGCTTAGCTGAAGTAATGAACTCCGATAATAATGAACCCACTAATTGAAACAGTATGTAGCTTAGGATGTCATTAGCTGCACAATATTACCATTACTAGTACAACAGTATTGAAACTGTAAAAAAAGGCACAGTTTTCAGGTGCAAGATACAACAGTTCTGTGTACAATCACCAAGATATAAGCTTTAAATTTGTGCTAGAATAATGTAAGCAACTGTTGCGTAGTAATGAATTGTTCCCAACTCAGTTTGTGCACCATAGGGAAACACATCCTTAACAAGAAACCCAAAATTAAGATCTGTATGTTGCCTGAGCTGCCAACTGCCATAAAAGTGAAGAGGTCCCGTGATAAGCATTCACCCACAGGATCCCAGAGTATTAACAAAGGACAGCAAGATGTACAAATAACTCTGCCTGACCTAACTGGGAAGTCTAAGGCTGGGATCTGGCATTGTTTGAGACAGCCACCACATTCAGTAGGTTGGTTGCAAATGTCTCCATTACCAAAGAGCAAAACATACATTGCTAGAAATTGGCAGTGAAATTCTGGCAGCAAAACTCTTTCTGCCAGACTGGAAAGATTTTTATAGCTCTGGGTATGTATTTTAATGTGCTACTAAGGTATATATTTATTTTTCTCCTTGAGACAAAAGCCAATTTTCTTCCTGTGTTTCTGTTGCTTTGCTGAGCTCTAAGAAGATGCTGGTTTACAATTCAGCTTTATTTCACTGCTTATACCTTCTGTTTTCCTGGCCATTTCTCCCTCTTCCGGCCTTCAGCAGCAGCTGTGCTGAAGTTTCTGATAAAGTTGAGATGCTCAAGGAGACCTACGCACCTTTTTATATAGTTGGTTTTTTTTTTATATAGGTTTTTTTTTATATAGGTGTGACATTATTCAGCACTGGTGGTTACCTCAGCAACCTAGCTCTAGCATCATCGACATCAACAGTATAGTTGATATGGCATTAGCAGTAAAGGGAAATTTTAGCAGAAAATGCCTTGTTCATTCACTGCCAGTGTACTCAGTAAACAGCTTTATCAGTCTGTAGCCCTTCACAGTGATAAAAACTTCAGTACTTGAGTTTAAAAATTAATATAACAATGACAGAGCTACATAAGGCTCAAAGACAAATAAGAAATTGTTCAGTTCCTGAAAAGTCTGAAGAAATAACAGGAGGATTATCCCAGTCTTCCTGAGTATTTTTCTTCCATGAACTGATGCCAAAATACTGTTAACTCTTTAAGTTACTGTGGCAGTGTTAAAAAGTGAACACTTCTTGAAGTTCTTAATGCCAAACTAAACAATATTTGTTGAAACACTTGGCAAATATTACAGGAATCTTGATATATCTAGAGCAGGTCTAGATGTGGACTGTAAGAATAGCTTAGCTTCTTGGAATAAATCAAAATTTATAAAGTGTAAAGTAAATTAAGCTGACATGTGAACACAATTCTGTGTTACTTCAGCTTATGTAGTTGCAATCTAATTAGGAGCTGCTTTCAGGCATTGGTTCAAAAAAAGCACGTGTCACAAAATAATTGAACATTCAGAAAATTATGTTAACTGTTTTGCTGAACTAGTACGTTATTTTCCTCTTTTTCTAAAAAAGGTGGATTATGAGAATGATATGCAAACTTGATATATTGAGGTTGTTACAAGTTGTGTTTTGTGTTGTGTGTTATGAATGCCTGCGGTTCTAGACCTTTAATGACATGTAAGTCTTTTAGTTAATTTTAGCCACATTTGACAAAAAGGTAGAGGCATTAGAAGCTCTTATGCTCCTGCAAGTGTTGTGAAACATTGCAGGAGTAGCCCCACTAGGAGAGTAGGCGCAGGATGAGCTCAGAACTTGTTATGTTTCAGTTAATCCTCATGGGAAAGATCACCTATAAATCCTTCAGCTGCACAGAAAGCAAACAGACAGACAAACTTCAACTGGCGATCACAGTCCGCCATGAGACACAAATCTGTGGGGAAATCAGGCTTCATTACTTATGGTGCTCCTGGAACCACTGCTTTTTAGAAAGGTTTCAGAAACAACACATGACACAGTTGCACAGGGTGAACCTATGGATTTACCCAAAGGCTACACTGGGATTTGGGGCAATATTTTAACAGCCAATAAAGAAAAGCAAACAGGTTTCACAGCTGATGATTTGGAAGCACTGTGCATTTCCTTTTGGTTTCCTCCTGGCCATGTGTCTATGTGTAGCAGCTCTGGAGCAGACAGAGGACCCTGATGCTTATTATTCTTGCAAACCTGCTGCTGCTATTTAAAAAAAATTGAAGCACTGAGGGTAACTCGAGCTTTGTTTTCCCTTCTGCCTGCCCTGAGGTGGAGAGGACTGAGGGATGTTTTTAGTCTTGGCACACAACTGCATAAAAGTCAGTTTCTCACAGTTGAGCAGATTTAATATTAGTCATGAATGAGATCATGATTTGGTTACAGTAAGAGTTATTATTTATGGTACGGTGAGGCACTGCAAGAGCTTGTGGGAAGTCTGCCAGGGATGGATAAACTCTTTCTTTTAATTAGGGCCAACACTAATAACTTAACCCATGACCTCACATCCTCTAATTCCCTCTTACTTCTTCACATTTTCATCGATTCAAAGGAAAAAGCAAATTCCACAAATTTCTGTGCTTTGGTACCAGTATAGAAACATGCAAACAACCAAAGGATTCAAACAGATTGTCCACCTGGAACAAGGGTTGTTCAGTGGACCACAGAGAAATGCATGGCTGAGGCCAGTCACTCTCAGCAGAACTGCCTGTGCGAGTAAAGTGTTTGCAGGACTGTGTCTTTTGATTAAAATAAAACAAGTGAACAGGAGGAAAGCAGTAAGAGCTTAATTTGACCTGGCTCACACAGAAGTGAAAGTGAGGAACACCATGTTATGTTATCAGAATTGATGATTCACGTTAGAATTATTTTATAACCTTTGAATGAGGTATATGTATACATACATTGGAATATATATATTAATGCAGACTTCTTAAAGATGAATACCATCAGCTGCAGTAAAAACTGCAGCATTCCTGTTGCCTTCACTGTGATGTGAATATGTGGACTTCCAATGACACATCACTTTGGTTCTTATATTTCATAGTATAAATGTTTTCTCAGGCTATTTTCCATATAGTTTATTAATGTAGAATATATTTTTGTATATATAAACCAACATGTAATAGAAGTGGGGAAAGGTTTAATTAGGGATCCTCAGTAAAACAAACCAAAACGTGAATCTCTGTGAGGCACTAATAAAAATATTTATGTTTTAAATCATAAAAATGAAAAAATGAAGGATAGAATGAGATCAAATAGAGTTTGAAATGAAATTCCAATGCCACTATATGAAGAAAAGGGCAATAAATATGCCAGTTTGGAGTCCAGGTTTATTCAGGAGTATAGAAAAATGTATGCCTCAAATGACCAATTTCCTCTGACAAGTTTCTAAGTTCATTTTCTTTCACACTTGATTTTCTCTTGTTCAAAGCCCTAGAGCAACTGACTCTGTGGTTCATGGTCTCTAAGGCCATGATAAGTAGCTTGTATTCAGTTTCTGAAACCATATCAGCTGTCTAGAGTTTTTACGCTCAATGATAAGGGTATAGAATACGCTGCTGGCCCTCTGGAGCTGCGAGTGTGTTCCACTTGTTCAGAAACTTTGTGGCATATCTGTCTTTGAGGACCTTATAAGCTTTAAATTCATTTGGAAAAGCGGTGTGTACATGCTTATTTCCTGCTGGTTTTGATTAGGGACATCACTGGAAGCCTACCATTGACAGACAGGGTGCACCTCAGGACAATGCTGGGAGGGAGTTTTGGGTATACTTCACCTTGCAGATTGTCCCCTCAGGTTCCCAGTCACATTATCTCATATTTTTAAGGGGAAATTAGCTGAGCTAATTGACATCCTTCAGCAAAAATATGTTCACATCCTCTTTCTTACCTTTTAACTGTGCGCATTCTTAGTGGAAAAGAGAAGTGCTTATATGTAAGTAACACAAACTGCTTTTTGACATGTAGTCTGCTGAGGTGTTGCGTACTGACAAAGAGAAGCTGACACATTTCATCAGGTATTTCTCTCCATTCAGCCCTTAAGGAATGTAAAATCTCATCACATTGCAATATATAAAAGTGATAGCAGTGTTGATGTGAAAATACCAAGAGACTTTCTAGAATGTTATGTTTTAGGATGGGATAAACCCCTTAGGATACTATTATGCTATATCTGCTTTGCAGAGCCTGTGTATCACCTATGGAAGGAGAGGTAGTTAATGTGGATACATCTAAAACTATGTCTTTGACTTACCTTGCAATGACAAAGAGGACACAACTGACTCCAAGGCAGGCTAGGAGAACATACATCCAAATATCAGGAGAAAGAGGGTTTAAAAAGGAGAAAACTCCAGGGTTTGTCCCATTTGGCTTCCGGTACAAGATACTGATTCCCAGTGTCATGAAGGGCTTGGAAAAATCAATTACTTTCTCTCTTACATAGGTAATAGTGAGAGGAGCAACAGCCAGATCAGCTTTCTGAAATCACAAATGAGAAAATACTCATTCTTTTTATATTCAGCAAATGCAATAATATTCCTTCATTTTTTCCCCCAAGTATTAAAAACTAAACCAAATTTTACTATAAATCTGTATGACAAAATTTAACATTGCTAGGCTATTATTGGGTACATGGTATTCTGTTTCCTCTTTTTGCAGGCAGAGGGACATTTGTGACTTTCATGTGAGTAGGACAGGTATGACCAGGGACATGGAGCTTGGTCCTGTGCAGCAGAGCAAGGACTGCCAGAGCATCTGGGCAGGGACTACGTCCATAGATCAAAGGCAGCCACTGGGCAGAGGTGAGCTGGAAGCTCAGCTTTTGCAGCTTGAATTCGTAGTGAAGGGGTGGCAGGACCCATGCTAGTGTGCACTGCCCCACTGGAGATGGAGGTTTCCCCCCTCACACCTGCAGACTGTTGATTCAGATGTACTAATGTGGCTTCCTACTCTGACAAGTGGCAATAAAGAAAAAGTAATGGCTCTAAAACTAAAACATTTTGTTTGGGCTGGGTTCATGTAAAATACAACAGGTATTTTAAAAGAAGAATAAAGAGAGAAGGATTCAATCTTACATGATCTATGAGTTCTTTGACCATCCCATTCCACTCTCCTTTGTCATTCTGGGCTCCATATTTACCATCAGAAACTAGTTTGACCTCATAGATGAAGCCTAAAATATTTGACAGCTCTTTTAGTAAGTCCAGGCAATAACCCTCAAATCTGTCATTTCCATACAAGGGCTTGTCAGACTTCTTGTACATAACATAGGGATCTTCCTATAGAAAAAGAGAGTAGACACATAGCAATAGAAATTAGGTTTGTTTCAGATTATACCAGTTTCTCTAAATTATCGTAATATTTTACAAGTGGATTAAAATTAGATGTAAACCACTAATTTATCGTGTCCATTAAAAGCTGTTTCAGGTGTGTTAACAAATTGACTATATCAGTTAATGATAAGCATAAGGACCCTAATTTTCAGCAGAACAGATCATTCATAGCTCCCAGGAGTTTTAATTAAAGTAGTGCTTAGCAGCTCCAAAATCAGACCCAAGAACTGTACATTGTCTCACCCTAAGGGACAGGAAGGGATATTGAAGGAGAGAGAAGCCTAAGTAACAGAAAAATAACCATAAGAGGAACTTAAAATTTTATATTCTGTGAGAAACAGATCTTTATTGGAAAAAAATGTGTTGAGCATGTATTCACAGGACAGAATGGAGAACAGCATAGGTAGATTGCAAAGTACCTAGTTGCTTTTCTTTTTAAAGCATTTTGGGTAAAAGATCTGGGCAATCGGGTTTCCGCAGTTTAATGTAACAAAACACCTCTGGCAATAGAAAAGGAGTGTAATGGGAGCCTTTGTGCTCTTTCCTTCCTCCTGAGGAATTAGGCAGAATAATTTAAACAAATGACATTACTGGCCAGGCAGAAAGCACGAGGCAGAACAACTCATGGATACCCCATTGCATATTTTCCATTTATCGTAGTAAGTACATAACCTGTCTGTAGCATAAGGGTTTGCTACTTTCTTCAAGTCCTCATCATTTCATTTTCAGTAAAAAGGAAGGATGTATAAGCACTGAATACAAAGCTGTATGTTAATGCTTCTGGGAAGAAAAGTATGGAGGGTTCATCTCTGAAATATTGAAGTAAGCTAAGCAATTTTGGAGGCAGAGAGTCCCACGAGTCTTTCATTGGCAGTGGGATGTTTCTGAATCAATCTTGTGGTTCGATGAATGTGTATGTCGATTGCGAGTCTAAATCAAAAAAATTGCTTGAAATAGATAGTTTAACAAAACATTGTTTAGTGTGGAGGAAAACAGCCATGGAGTACATGGTGGAGGTGGCAAAGGCAGCCGCAGAGAGCCCCGCAATCATCAGCAATACCTGCATCCTATGGCACAGCTGTAGGTGATGGTGGCACCTCTACCCATTGAGACTTACCAAAATGGTGGTGACGATAAGTGTCCGGTTAGCCAAGGAATCCGTGATGTTGGTTGATCGGTCTTTGTTGCTGTCTGTCATGTTAAGGCCACTGTATGAGTTCCAAACCCCAATCTGCACACAAGAGAGCAGGTAAGCAGCTGCCCAGCCACAGTGAGCCAAAATATTTCCCTAAATGCTCATGACTTAGGAAGAACGCACTGGCTCTAGCCACTACAGAAAGAGACACCAGCAGCACGAAATGCTAGAGAAGGGAAACTGCTATAGGTCTGAGTAAGGAAGCAACATCAAATGACTGATCTAGAAAACACAGGGAACATACCACCCTTTCAAAAGCAGGTGGGAATGAATGAGCTGTAAGAGTATAAGGCATGCCAATACAGTGGTATATCAGCCAGTTTGCTACAAAAGTGGAACATGTTGGCTTTGTTTCCTCCTAAAAATGTCAAATGTCTATTTCTATGACTTTTTTTGTTTAAATTTTGTAAATGGTAGAGTCGAAACATATGGCAAGACCTCTCTCTTCCAACACAACAGATTAAAAGCTTGAATAAGTATGTTATAGCAGACTGATGAAGGCACTGGCCTTTTGATTCCGCTGTGCCTTCAGCAGGTTTAGCAAAGATTATTCTGTCATTTCTTGACTACTATATATGACAGAGCTATAAAGGTGGCACTGTTGCACGTACTGACCAATGTTTGTTCAGTAAATGTAAGTGGCCAAAGGCAAATTCCTTTCTAGCCTCAGAGGTAGTGAAGAATTCCATTATTTAAAGTGCAATTCAAAACCTCAAGGGAAAGATCTTCGTGATTTCAGCGGATTTGGATTTACACCTCGTAAGGACAGAAATTATAACTATGTTCATTTGTTCAGGCAAATATTTACTTAACATAAGCACAGTCTGAAAGCATATTCAGGGTCTTTTTGCATTTGGATTTCCATATACAGCATGGCTGAGGGTTGATGTGAGAAAACTCCAGGCAAGGAGCAGGCTAAGGGAATTTGGCTTGTATTGGATATTTGTGGAGAGCACCAGACGGATGGCTTGGGGGATGACACTGGCTATTCACAAAGCACTTCATATCACCATGCAGCTCTGCCAGCATGTTTCAGCTCTACCCAGGAGGGATCTGCTTTCAGATCCTCCCTGCTGGGGTTGCCACCAAAGCTGCCAAGTAAGTCTGAGACAAAACCCATTGACTTATGCTGTGTATCGGAGGTCTCTATCTGACGTCAGATGCTCAGTGATTTCAGGCCCAGGCTGGATTCTTTTTCTTTGGTTGTTAGTTAAGGCAGAGATGGCACTGCCTTTCTACCAAACCCAGCAGATTAGTTCATGCATGTTGAGTGTGGATGTGGGGTAATAACTGTATCAATTCAAACAAACCTTGGGTTTGTGTCCCTGGGTGCCATTGCTTTCGTCTTGCACAATTTTTTCGTCATGCCATTTCTAAAAATTGTTTTTTCAAGCATTTATCAGTCACTCCCTTTGTTTCCAAAACTAGATCAGGTTGGGAAACTGACCTAGAAAGTACACTGGATGTTGGGTATTATGATAGTTAGTGCCAAGAATATACTAAATAACCAGTGTCCTTGAATTTGCACCACGGTGGCTGAGTTAATCAAAAGCCGTTCTACTCATTGTTATTGACTTGATATGCTTTTATCAGCTGGCAGTAGGGAAGAGGAGAACAACCATGAAGAAGATGGAGTGATACAGTCACAGTGCATACAAAATACATGAGGATACCACTCGAGGTCTGGATAAAAGAATAACACCGCAGGTCAACCTTGATTAGAGCAATGGAGGAGGTTGGAGGGGCACTGGAAGAATGAGGTCAAGGTAGTACATCACTATGGTGAACTCAGGGGAGTTATTGCAGTTTAGTGACAAGTTTGAGAGGTGTCATATGCCCTTCTCAGCAGGCCTGTGCTCTGAAGCAGTTGTAATTTGGTTTCAATCAATTCAGCGTAACCCAAAACGCCTAGAGTCAAAAGTGAGATTGGTTCAATAGTGTTCTGCATGTCAGGTAGGATGATATATTGACCAGTAATGAGGGAAACAGGGGCCTTAGCCTGATTCACTGAAGATTAAGACAAGGTTATTAAGTATGTGCTTTATAAGAACACAAAAAGTGCAATAGGTTGTTTTACTCTGGTCTGCTCTGTAGCATTAAAATCCCTCCCAAATCAACACCAAATCAAAATCTTTTTTAACTGTGTATATAGGAGGGGTGGGAAATAGTGAGATCTCTGTGAAATATGTACAAAATATAATTCTAAGCATTGTAAGAAGTTTTCATCTTGAGACTGCAGAACTCTTTAAGCATGGTTAATGTGGTTGTTAACTTCTTACAGCACGGCAACCGTGGGTTGTACCTCCAGTGGGGAGCAGCACATGGAGCTTGCCTCTGACTCCCACTTTGGTGCCTTTTCCACCAGGCAGAGGAAACTCACATTAAAAAAGGAATGAGATTCCTGGGGTAATTAAGATCTTTTATAAACAAGCTTAGTTCCAATTTCCATACGTTAGTGAATGACAGCACCCACCTAATCATCTGTATTATTTTCTGTAAGGAGCTAATAGCACACTTGTCAAAATTTTGAGTCAACAGTGTTTGAACATTGACTGCATAGTGCATATTCTGTGGGAGGCAAAAAACTTCCCAATCCTGCATGTTAAAACAGTCCTTGCTCCTGATGCTAATACATGTTCAAAATCATGTAAATTAACCATTCATGGTAAATCTTAGGTGAATTTGGAAGGGTAACAGCTGAGAAAAGAGCTGCTTTTGCTGTATCTAGGAGCCTTTAGTCAAAGAGAGGAAAATCACAGCTCCCAAGAAATAAAATAATAATTAAAAAAATATTTTGGTGAAAAAGCTGAATCCTGCCAAAGTCTTTTTACTATTTGGAATTACAGTGTCTCAAGTTGGGATGAAACTTATTCTACCAGAAAAATTCATACTCTCGGGTACACTGTTGTCTCTAAACTGCAATATCAGTCACTTTCAAAACCCAAAGGATGAGTCTGAAGACCCAGCCCAAAGGTTTTTTGCATCACCTGTCTGTGTACAAACCTTCTTCCACACTTTATATAAATGATTAGAAACCTCGCCAGCAGCCTTTGTACAGAGAAAAATAAACAGAGTGCTTCATTACAAATGAAAAGAGAATCAGTCTGGAGAGCTGTGTGGGAGCAATTACATTTAAAGCCTCAATTAACCCATCAGCAATAATCATTCAGTCAAGACAGTGTACACAGAGCAAGGGACGATGCTGTCTCCAGCTGACATGAACTGGTGGCAATACCTGTGTTAGGGATTTTTAGACACTCATAGCAGCCACCTTCTAGATGGCAGTGGAAATAGCCCAGTGGTGCCCATAGGGAAGCCCATGTTTGCTGGCTGAGAGCCAGGGCAAGGGAAAAAGAACAAATCTAATCTCATTTCAAAAAATATAAAGAATTTTTTAACATCTCATCTCTTGTTGAGGTTATTATTCAAGCACCTTCTTTCCTCTCTCCCTCATGTCACATTTATTGAAAGCAGTACATGTAATATCATAGAATCATAGATAAGACTAGGGTTTACCTCTCTATATGAGTTTACCACACCAAGTTACAGTGGTGAGGACTGAAAGTAATATGCACTTAAAATAATTATTTTCATTCATATAATTATTGCCAGTCCTAAATTCCTATACCATATCTCAAAATGCAAGGTACACATTGTAAAATAATAAAACAATCTTAGTAGCTCTGTTTTCACTTTGAATTAAGTAATCTTGAGAAAAGTGGGGTTTACCCCAAGCACAGGAGACTTAAGCTGAGGAGAATGAATTTTCCTATGCCCCTGTGAAATTAGCTTTTTGTCATTGTTTTACAATAGATCTAGTTACCTTTTCTGTTCCTTCCTCCTTGAGGCTAATAATGTCCAAATCAAAATCCTTCCGCAAGCCATCCGTTTTGTTGAAGGTTATGCGCCCTGTCAGGCCATCCCACCGTGCCTGAAAGAACACAAAAACACTCTTCCCTGTAATGATTAGTAAGAACTACTCTGAAGCCATAACAAAATTACATTTTAAATTAATTGTATCATTGGATCACTTCCAAATATTTTTTTTTAACATATGTGGCTTTGCTTCTTCGATAAAAATATTTTCTTCAACTTTTTTATTTTAGTCTCTTTTCAGTATTTTGTATTTTACAATCAGACACGACTTTGTGACACTTTATATATATGGATTTACATATGTCTAGTACTGTATAAAAATGGATATACTGAAAAGAGAGAAAGACAGAATAAAGTATGTCCTACACGTGCCCAAAGACAGGGCGGTTTTGCACTGCATAAAAAAACACTAAGAAATTAAAAAATGAGTCTGCTTTGTCCAAGCTTTGCGTCTGATCCTTGGAGTACAACAGTCTAAATCCACCAGCCTGGCTTGAGTGATCCTCTTTACCCAAGCCTAGGACCTTTTAAGTTCTCCATGATGAATGAGTAACAGATGGCAATCAGTGCTGAATGGGAGTCTCCAGAAGGTCCTAAATGAAGGTAGGTAGCTAACCATCCCAAATTACCAAAGCTTTCTCAACACTTCAGCTGTGCATTTCTTAGTCTTGTGTGGTACATACTGCCTCTGCTACTCCGGGTCCAGAAATCCGTATTTTTCCAGGAAGATATAAATGAAGAAGGGCTTTTGTCATCCTGGCTTGATTTCTTGAACAGGTTGTGGTTGAATATCCCACACCAGCACTGGACTCCTAATGTCCTTGACTTTGCTGAGTTGTTTCATTAATCCCTACTCAGTTTGCAGCCCCAAGGAAGAAGACACAAGTTCCCAAGTAAGCAAACAAGGTGTATAATTCCTAATAAGAGTATTACCACTGCCTGTGCTCGCAGGTGTTGATGATGGCTATAAAAGTGGGCTTTCAGGAAAAATTCACCCAGTCAGAGAGACCTAAATAAAAACTTTGTAGTGTAAGGTACATGTAAATCTTACGTATGTGAAAGTAAGTACAGCATGTGAGTTGCATATGATCAGTTTTGGTCCAGGCAGCATTTCGTTGTCCTATCATCATGAAGCGAAATCACGTTTTCCTTGATTTATACATTAGCATCAGGAGTAAGTTAAAGTTGTACATTAGTCTGTATAGCTATGATGATTCCCTGTGTTGGGGAAAGCTTCTTCAGTGCAGAAGGATCAATGTCCAGAACTTTCTCCCAGCACATTCACTTTCTTTTAAATGAGATCTGTCTCTCATACAGTCCCCATTTTGTTCCCAAAACTGAAGCTTATCTGTGAAAAGTATTTGATGGATTTCAAACTGCAGACAATATACAAGAAAGGTTGATGATAAATGAGGGCATAGTTTTTTTCATGTGTGCCAGCATGTAATTCTTAAATTATAAGCTTTTCTACTGTGCATTGTTATTTGCTTCATTTAATTTGCTGCAGAAACGTGACATAAGGAAAGCTGCATTGAAAATCAGCAAATTTATAGAATGGTGTCTCCTCTTCCTGTTAAATCTAAATTCTAGCTCTGAATCTGCAGGATTTTGTCTCAGATGCTGGGGTGTTATCACCGTGTGTCTCAGACAAATCTGCTGCATCTAGAACTTTGTGGAAACATAGCAGGATTTTGAGGCAAGCTTAAGTAAAATAAGAATGGAAAAACACAAATGCACCAAAATTACTATGAGACTGTCCATCTTAACAATGCAGGGAGATACGGAAATCTCAGCTGTAAACAGTGAATCACTTGTGGGTTTCTCTGTTGGTATAATTAAGATAGAAAGGGGGACACATACGAACGCATTTCATTATAGAATATCTATTTCCTAGTCTGTCTCTTTATTACTCTGACATGACCCCCATCTCTTATTCATAAAGATGGAACATTTTTTAAAATATGATCTTTAGAGATCAATTTCTCCTCAGAGGGCAATTTGCTTCTTTGAAATGCTCACATTTATTGATTTCATATCAGATGCTCAGTTTCTAATGTGATAAGATCTCAAATAAAGGAACAAATATGTTATTTTGGAAATTGTCTCAGGAGCCTTCATCTCTATTCTTGTACAAAAGATGCATATGGGGAAATGCTAGCCCACTTTTGAAAAGAGCATTGATGCTTCTACCCCCATACTAAAAAAAATGGAAGGAAAAGGTGTTACAAGCTGCATAGGTGTATGCTTACATTTCAAGGTAGCAGAGAAGTGCATATAGCCTCCTTTGTTTAACTTAAGTCCTATTTAGACCATTAATGATCCAAATGTGACTTAGATTACAAGCAGGAGTCAGGGGGTGTACCTCATAATAGTTAAATGTTGAAGGATTTTTTCAGACCCCAATTGTGAGGTACACACTTCAAATACCATTTGGATTCTAAATTTAATTTCTGATTTTTGTTTAATTCATTCTAAATAAAAATAAAACGTTTGGGCTTGAGTCTAGGGAGCATGATTTTATTTTCGACCTCAAGACAGTTGTGGCATCTGTGTGTGCAGCACATCCAGACAGACAAGTGATGTTTCTTTCCTGGTCAGAAACAAAAGTTTTCCTTAAAAACAAAGGCTAGGAACCTTCAGTCCATCCCAGGCCTTCTGAACTCTGTGGTAAACTTCCAAGCTTTTAATTCAATTTGAGTCCAAAAGCACAACTGCCTGCTGCATGCAGTCAGTGAAACGTATCATTGCTCCAAAATCATAGCTAGATAGCACCACTTCTAGACCCCTGTCAGTTAAATCAAGGATGTGAGTGCCTATCAGGCTCTGTGCTCAGGCAAACAGAATTGGCAGCAGTTGCACAGTTCTCAAATGCAACTAACAAACAGAAATGAAGCAGAACTTTCTGAATAGTCAGAAACCACATGAATGTTTAACACAGCAATGAGAATTCATGCTTTTATATGCAAGATTTATAGGATTTTTAATGTTTCTAGTGACACTCATATTAAATGTTACAGGATATAATAAAAGTTAAATTGGAACCTAATCATGTTATTCATCAAAAGAAATAGCTTTTTTGCACTCTGTCCTGCTTTAATGTTAGAGGAACTAAGAACACAATTTGAAACTCTTAGGGAGAGAATGTATTTTCAATTTTGTTTGTATCATTTTGAGTTGAGCTTGCAGCTTAATTAAAAAATGTGAATTTCAGTGGCTCCTGTTTGTAATGTCTTAGATCTTATTTATGCAAGGTTTCAGGCTGCCTCTGACAACAGAACTGTGAGGAAATGCTGTTCTTTGGGATTCTGGTTTGCAGCCATATGGCAACACAGTGTTTGACTAAGGTTCAAAATAAAGTTTCACATTCTTCAATATCATGTTTTACCAGATAGTTATTATTCCTATTTCTAAGATGTAAACATTTGATAACTTTCTCCTGTTTATTAAGCAAGATGGAGAATTAACCCAATATTTTGGTTTCAGCTGGTAGTTGAGACGCAAACCATAGAGGACCAGTAGGTATGCAGACTTTCTTACTAAGCATTGAAAAGGTAATAGATTGAACAGATTCCAGATAAGTCTTCAGTCATCTCTGAAGGCTGTCAGGTACCTGACGTGGCAAAAAAATATATCCAAAGCAAGCTATCTAATTAAAACTGTGAAACTTTTTACTACTTTGAAAAATTAAGACTGTGGATAAACTGCAATCTAAAATCTGGTGTTGAGTATCCAAATTACAATATTGATTTCTATATTAATACATTAATGGACAATTATAACAACTGGAAAAAAAAGCTGACTCAGCTTCCAAAGCAAACACTCCAGAAACTTGCTATCAATTCACATCACTATCATATGGTCTTTATATCAATTTCCACTTCATCATTTTGAATCAATTTCTATAGCAGCTTTAATATCAGCCAAAGCAAATCAACAGTTCAGTCACAGAATTAACTAGTTCAGCTGCTACCAGACTTACTAAGGTAAAACAGGTACATTTCATATTCTGTTTCTTTTGTTTCTACTGGACCTCACTTATATTTCCAGATTTGAATTAACATCATAGAACTAGATCACGAAATCATAACGCACAGTGTGTTTAATGCATTGACTAAGTATTCAGCTTTATGATACAGCCTTACTGAGATAGACAATTTTGTAGATGCTGAATTGCACTACTGCACACTAAAGTGTCAATCTTTCCCAGACAAACTGATAGTGGTTTTATTATGTATTTATTTTTTCTTACTCCATGTAAGTTTATCCAAATATTTTAGTTTACTCTTTCTTTGCCTATGGCACATTTTCTCTTTCTGAGTTATGTTGCAGTGACACATACTGTATAGTTGTGTTTGACATTAGAAAGCATTATATTTTTCAAGGTCCTTTTTAAAGTAGTCAATGTGCCCTGGCAATACAAGAATGCAAAAGCATAATCTTATTTTAACTTTTTAAACTATCATGTTTAATAATGTTTCATAATGTACAGGCATTTCCACTCTCCTATTGATATTCTATTTATTTTAATAAGCTGTGAAATAAATGTTTTTCTGAACCTGTTCTTTAGACCTCTACTTGTAATTAACCAAGTGCTCTTTAGAATTTAAAATTCAAGTTTTATCCTTTTCTTGTTCTCACTGTTCAAAAACTAAGACCCCCCCCCCTTCGAATGTATATCCAGAGCTAATGTCAGAAGAAAACAAATATGCACCCCCAAATGCAAATAAAACTGTGATTATATCACTTACAAAATATGTGCACATATTGAATCTGCTTTAAACAGTATAAGAAGAAACTGTCATAACTCTTAACAAATTTTTAAAGTATATAAAGCTGATAAAACTTCTCAGTAAAAAGCCAAGAGGTAATTTTAGCACAGTATTGTGACAGAAAATGAACTGTTCTGTGGTTCAGCTCCAAAACCCTGTACAAAACCAGATTCAAGCCTGACTTTGTGCAAGACATTCAGACACTTTGCATCTGCTACTGAAGCCTGAATTGTTCTCTAATATGAAAGTATCATAAATTGATGATAAACAACATCTTATGTGAAGAGTATTCTTAGATATAAGTGCAATGCTAAATGACACTCTTCCTTCAAAAGCTTTACAAATGTATCTGGGCACACAAAAAAAACCTTACTGTAATTGACTTCAGAAATTCCCAAAGTAGACAATGGGCCATATTTAGATAATTATTTTGTAAAGCAGTCTCTGTATTTTTTATTTCTCTCTCTTTTTTCATTTTTTTCTTTCTCTTGCTGTTTATGTTTGACATGAACATTTTTAAATTTTCCTAAAGGCATGCAATCAGCAGAGTTTTTCTACAGGTTTGGTGGGAGCATGGAACAGAAAACAGCTGGACTCTTCAGGATGAGAGAAGTACTTCCAGAAGCTAGAGAGAAATGTAATTGAAGATAAGAATATTTTCTTGTCTACTCAGTTTGTCAATGGGGTTATCTTGACCTATGGTAGGTTGCTTTCTTAAGCATGTTAAAGGTAACCTACAAAGGCAAGTAACTGGACTGATTTTTTTTCCCTTTTTTATGATGGTTATAAAAGAAAAGTGTATTTGTATTTTCAATTATTGGTGTTATAATCTGTTTATGTTATAAGAAGTTACTAGGCAAAACTGAACATCAGTTATTGATTTAACATACATTTCTAATTAACTGTTAATCCAAAATTTCTGATGAGGGCTGTGGTGCTTGCTGACATCCAAATGCAGAGGTGGGTGATGAAGTCTCCTCCATTGCATTTTAGACTTATTAACAGAACAGAACTCTGATGGTTACAGAATTACTGACAATGATTAACATACATACACAGAGGAGCTCATTTGTGTTGGTCCTCAAGGGGCAAGATAATGAATGACCTCTTTTTCTCATTTTTATTTTTTTTCTTCCCTCCAAATTTTAGCTTCTTGATTAGAAAATCAGATACCTGAAAAATTTATATAACATAGGCATATGTAAACCTGCTCTGGCCACATGCTCAGAATATAACAGTTCACTTTTTCACACCAAAATCTTCCAACACCATAATAACAATCCCAGTATATACTAACCAAAATGTCAGTGGTCAAGGATATTTAATCTTCCTTTGGTTTTCTTTCCTTTTGGAAGAGCAAGCTCCTGCTTTACTAGAATTGCAGAGACATTTGATAGATTTAAGCTTTTAGTTACAGTGAAAAATATAATGTGGTATGAGCCACACATCAACTTACCAGCTCTTAGTTAATCCTCTTATTAAAAGAGATCCTTAAGGATTATGGAATATAGTAAGTTAGTGTAAGACTTTTCCATTATCCTGGTCCAAATCTAGCATAACAGATGTAATAAAAAGCATTCACCATTAGAGGGTTTTATCTATAGTCTCTATACTTAGAAGAGGTCCAGGACTGGAAAAGTCCCAGGCTTTCACTAAGCAGCCCTGGAATGGAAAAGGGGAGGTATGAGGGAGGCTTGTTCTTAGGAAAGGGTTTGGGCAGCTGTTATAAGACTGGGTCCACCTCTGCCTTAAAACAGGAGAGGGAAATGGTGGGTATTCTTAGGAGAGTCACAGGTTGTTTATTGAGTCACTCAAGAACACACATGACACAGCAGTGGTTGAGCTTAATGACATTCGGGAGCAGCCATATGAAAGGTTTTTGATATAACAGATTTGACAAATGAACCTCAAATATTTGAAGTTGATGGCCTAGATGGATGTCCTGGGTTCAGCTACAGCAGTCATTTTTTCTCCTTCTTAGTAGCTGGTGCAGTGCTGTGCTTTTGACTTTCAGCCTGGGAACAACGCTGATAACACCGATGTTTTTAGTTGTTGCTAAGTAATGTTTACTCTGACCAAGGACTTTCTCAGTCTCATGCTCTGCCAGGGAGGAGGGGAAGCTGGGA